AGTAATGCCTGTATAGAGTATACGTGTCTGAGTATATTCCGTAAGTTTGATGCATTTTGGTCAAGTATTATGGTCGCTTGGAGTTTTTTAATTTACTATGGCTAAAACGATCAAACCGTATTTTCTTGAAAACTTTTCTTTCGAGCTTTTTCGGATTTTAATAGTAGAACAGCGGTGGCCACAAGATTAAGCGTGTTCGATACTCTATGTTTCCGTTTATCTCAGGGTTCCCCAACCTAGCAGTGAGGAATTAGGCAAGTTCCAGAAAAACGTCTGCTGATACTAAACGAGAAACGGTAGAGGCCTCGGACTTTCATAGTTTTGTAGAACAGATATTGGTCTATCTAGGTGTAAATTTAGAATAAAAGTTTTTATTTATGATCTTTTCCATCGCACTGTCGGATATTTTGTCCGAGATTATACCCTAGAACTGGTAGTTTTCAGGTGATCTGAACAAGATAAATTTTTTGTAATGCATATGTATTGGAAATAAAACAGATAGCGCTTTAAATAAATATAATAAAAGATGATAGAAAAGGCAGAGCGCTATCTATCGCTTGATGTTCTTTTTTTAAATAACCAATGAGAACGCATAATTTATTTTTGAAAAATCAATTGTTATAATAAAGCAGACAAAAGAACTGTTCTTCTGTGCTGTTGTAGATGAGCTGTTAGTTGTATTATAATTAGTCAGTCTAACAGTCAAAAAAGGCGCTAAAGTACGTTAGAAGAATAAGAAAGAAGAATAAACCCGTTAAAACCTTATTTCATGAAAAGAAAATTGAGCTATATTCCTGTTCAGCACGAAGAATTCAATGTCCTTCAGCGTTTTCTGAGGCTTCTGTATGTTTCCGTACCGCAGTTTTCTAAGAGGATTTCTCGAAAACTGAAGTTGAAAAATGGAAAGTGCCGAGGATAGTTGTATGTGCAAAATTATAGATCCTACTAAGTAGTTCCTACCCTGAAAAGATCTCGAAAAATTTTCGGAGCGTTTAGGAGAAAATCAACGTCAAACTTCAGGAATTTGTCAAGTAAATTGAGTACCACTCAAACCTAAAGGTAGATCGAGACCAGATTCCTTCAAAATTAGAATCAACTCATCAAGAGCTACAATTTGATGTATAATTATGCAACGTTTCGTTCATTTTCACCGACACCAAAAGAGGTGTCTAGAAAACCACTTTTCCCACGTTTTTTCAAAAAAGCGTAAGCGAGACGTTTTAATTATTGCTGATGCTCTACACGATGGACAGAGTAAAATTGTCGCCGCTAATAGCGAAGGTAATAGTGGACGGACCTGCGGATTCTTATTCATAATTATCTTAATAATTCAAATTTCGATCTTATATCAGTTCGTAGATTTGATGTTTTATGTAAATCAAAATTACTTAAATGAATTCTGAACTCGTCCATTGCAATTGATTTGTTTAAAAATTCAATTGATTTTTCCAGATAAACATTTAAAGTTGGTTGTTTAGCATTATAAATTTGACTTATTTCAAATAAATGTCGACTTTTAATGATTGAATCTTTCATATTTAAAACATAAGTTTCATATTCCGAATAGAAATCAAAATCATTTGTCAATAACCATTTCGATTTTAATTCTTCACATTTCGCATCTTTTTCCACTGTAAATTCTGTTATTTGATAATCATTGACTTCAACTTGATTGACAATTAATTTCTCATTCTAATTTTGACCGAATATATTACTCATTCTAATATTATCAAATAAATGACAGTTTTGTTTGTCGTTCTGAATCATGAATTAGTGTTAAATTTTCTTCATTAAATTGTTTCATTTCATTGATTTTCAATAGAATTTCATCATTTGGAATGATCTCTTCTCGATCATAGAAAGTCAACATATGATCTCGAACAAAAACTAAATATAATTCTTTTAATAACATTAAATAAGCATTTGAATTGGTGATATTTTTCATATATAAATCAAAAACGACAATTTTACTTTTAACAAAATCTTTGAATTGTTTGATGTCATTTAACTCAATCACTTGAATTAAAAATGTCAGTATTAAATTTAATTGTTCAATATCTTGAAATAAATTATATTTTTCATCATTTGAATATGATTGAATATATAATTTCGATTTTGGTATATAATAATTTAATTCATTTAAAAGTAATTGAAATAAATTTTTTTATATTTTAATAAAAATCTTTTAAAATAATGTTTGAATTCGAAATCATTTTTCATGAAATAAAATTCTTAACATAGGTAATGATTTGTTTAATTTCACACAATATTTCGAATATTCTTCTAATTCAGATTTCAAATTATTCATTTTTCTATAATTTTCAAACTCTTTTTCATATTTTAATTTCATATTTTGAATTAATTCTTCAAATTTCGTTTTATAACGTTTGTAAAAGATATTTTTCATATCATTGAGTTTTTCTTCCAATGATGTTGAATAACATGCAAGTTGAATATCTAAATTTGTTTCATTATTATCTTGGGAATGTGTGGATGCATTTAATCGATCATTGAAATATTGACAATTATTTTCGATTTCTAACTTGAGAATTTCATGATGATCATTCGTCGATTCAATACTTTTTACAACTATTTCTAATTGATTCATTCTTGAACCAAGTACAGGTAGGAACTTATCATTGATATTTGTTGATTTTAATGAATTAAATTTTTCATTTAGAATTTGAAAATTATTTCCAATACTCGATTTAATACTGGATATATCGTTCGTTTTTTCATAGTCAATAGTTTGTAATTGAGATTCTAGAATTTTTTGAATTATCACCAATTGAAATCGATTGACTTTGATCTTCTGCAGATTGGATTTGATTTAATTGATCATGGAGGTCGAATACATTTTGTCCAATTTGATCAAGATCATTTTCCCAGAAATTTCTATCATGATCTTCGATATGATGAGGAACAATTTCATTCAATTGTTCAAAATATTGTCCTAGTAAAAATCTTCGAGATTGACTATTTGTTGCTGATTCAGCATCATTTTCGTCATTTTCATTTCCCAAAAATTTCTTATACCCAGCTGTTACATATTTTTGGAACATTTTATCTAAAAATGAGAATTTTCAATGAAGAAAGAAGTGAAATTCAAAGAATGTAGTTATTGACATCGGTCAAGTTTTTGTGACTTGGCTCGAGTTCGACGCTGAAGCCGTAATCTTTCATCCTTGCAAATTGTCAAAATATTTTGGTACGTGTTGGCAGATCTATTTACGAATAGATTCGTTTGTTTTTATCTAAAAATAAAGAACGACAAAGGAGTAGTGGCGCTGAGGCCATTTTTTTTATCACAATATTTCTAAGAAAGAACCATATTTTCGGGATCACAAATTCTGAGCAAAATGAGGTATTTTTTTCAAATATCTTTTTAGTACCCTCTGATTCGCGGTATTTTAGAAAAAGCTCAAAAACCAAATTCGAATTGTTTTATTGTTCAGGATATCCGATGTCCCTTGATCGAAAAGTCCTAGAAAGGCCGCGAAGGTCTTGTTATTCGTAAGAATTTCACTTTTTGGAAAATTGTTCTCTAGACCTTTCTTTTTCAAGTACAGTAATCGTCTGATTCTGGGTTAAATCTAAAAGGAAACGGATAATCTTAATACACACCGCACACAGCATGCGAAAGAAAAGTGAAAAAATTCAGTCACACAATACACAAAAAATTCTCAAAAACAAGACTATTTTGCTGTGTGTACACGTGGGAAAAAATGCCAACCTATGTTCACATCGTGTACTCTTTCTCACTTATATGTTGTGCATCTTTATAATTAAAATCACAATTAGATAAATGGAAAAAATGAGGGGGGCAACTGAATTCTTTGAAGGACTTGCATTTATAAGAATTCAATTCTGTGCACCTTTCCTTGTTCTTATAGAATGGCGAGTGGTTAGGGAAGT